TTTTTTCAACCCTCGAAAAAATAAGGTTGCGAAAGTTTGCGAAACATGGGGTTGGTGAGCTGTTTGTTGTTGAGATATCCCGACTAATTCTGTGTTTCCTTCGATCGCCAGAAGTGGCAATGTGTTTTTTTTTCCCGTTGAATTTCGATCATTCATCAGTGTTTTTGTCTTGGCACCATTATTTTTTTATGCTATAACCGGAACAACTCGGTCACGTGATCTCCCAGAGTCGTCCGATTGACTCCGAAAATGACCGATAGTCGGAGATAAACGTTCATTTGCGTAAATCGGCTTATTTTTTAATGCGACAAAATAAACAGTCAAAATAAACATTCGACATCGCGGCAACTATCATAGCTCAAAGGAAACGAAGTGGTTGTCCTTCCTGGGGTTTATAGTTCCATGATATACTGAAAACTGTCAGTGGCTGAATTTTTCAAAAACGATTTTGATGTGACAATTTCCTTATTTTCGTCTAACACTTCACGAAATGAATGATGTTATCGAAAGTATTTTCAAAGCTGTTCAAGTTACATACGTATTTGGGTATGTTGCAGTAAAGCATATGATATTGAGTGAAAGGGACTGAACTATCATGGAAGACAACAAAAATGGAACAGTTTTTATGAGCATTACAGATATTGATACAACCTGTCGTTTGATTGGCTGTGCAAGGATGAGATGATGAGAGCGGCTTGGTAACCTTTAACAATCTAGTATAACCTAACCAAACCCCAATCTTTAAACATTGCAGGAGTGACACAAATAAAACTTATCGGAACTGAACAGTTCTGTCTACATAAATTTGATTGTATTCTAAAAATCAAACACATCTGTAAAACAAATAATCTGGTGTTCAGTTCAGGTTTCTGTCTTGAAACTTAAACTGGATGTAGTATTTTCTTTTGCGAAAACCAACTAAGACTAATTAGCATTTTTAACCGATTTATCTTCCATTCAGCAAGTGTTGTAAAATATTTTAAATCAACTATATCAAATTTTCCACTAGATTTTCCACTTGATTATTTCAATTTTTCTGGAATTCTCTAAATAAATATTCCTAGTATGCAGGGCCATCTCCTGTGCAGTACCCTATTAAATGAAGTAAGGGATTCTGTTGAAACACAGCAAATGAGAAACTATGCCTATTTCTCACCACAAGAGACTGATTACGCATCATTTCAAGTGAACACATACAGCTAAATATTTAATAAATGATTTTTCCCTATGGAAAATGCAGCCGAAAAAACACACATCATTTTTTTTTGAGAGACATGTAATAGTTTTATTGCGACATCAAATTGACGACATCTCAACTACATCCACTTAAGTTAACACATCATTTAATAAGCCGCATCCCCATTTTCATAATGGATGAATCCAGACATGAAACAACTTAGTGATCTGTACAAGAAAGGATAGGGGGTGAAAGTATTGTAAAAATGGCCACAGAGGGTTATCCTACAGCTTCAACCATGTCTAATGTAGTACATCTGACGTACCAAAAACAGATAATTGCATAGTTAAACTATTCGTATCTCATGAATAAACAGTATGTCAAATATCACCAACCCATTTTTCAATAAGTTGACTTTACGAGCATATCGAAAATACTGTTTTCTCCCAAACCTACACCTTATTAATAGTAGTGCTCTAAAGTGTTTACAGAAAAGATTCATTTGAATATTATTCAAAAGTTTTTACCAAAAATTTTTAAAACGGTTCTTACTTCAGGTATTACGGTTGTCAAGGAAACAGAATTTAACTGTCCTTGTATTTAAAACTAGTATGATTGTATGTAATTGTCTAAAATGTATGGTATGGTACAAAAATTATAATTCTTGTCAAATTGAATCTCTGAAACTATATAGGAATTAATCCAGACTTCTAGATTCTAGACAAACAAAGAATCAATCTGGACTTCTCTGAAACTACCTCATAAAGAATCTAGACTTCTATAAAACTACTGGAATGATTCTACAGATTTCCCTGAAACTACATGTACTAGAATCTCCTAAACTACCAAGAATTAAATATAGACTTCTTTGAAAGTATTGGAATGAATTTATCTCTCTCGGAAACTAACCAGAAATGAAAGTGGAACTCCAAATACCGAAATTCCCTAAGAAATCTTCGAAACCAATAAGGATTGAATCAGGACCTTTTTGAAATTATTGGAATGAATCTAGCTCTTTGTGAAACTATCAATGATCGCAGAAACTACCTATGAGTCATAAATTTTCTGAAACTACTGTGTAAAACTTTCCTTCTACAAACATACTGCAATGAAATGTTATATTAAAAACTGTTTGATCAATGTAATAAAAACTAGTTTTCTCTCAAACTAAATGTACTCTTTACTGAAACCACTAGTACATTACAAATGTACTCTACTCACACAATTTCTAGGAATTCTGTTACATTGTTACTGTTTTTCACATATAATATTGAGTGAATAAAGATGCTCTTCTTAAAACCTCTCAAAACAATTTTTCCCAGCTGCGCATATGCAAATAAGTAGTGCATATTATGAAATAAACATTACTTGGTTAACGAAATTTGTTTTTAAAATTATAATTGTATGCACTATTGCCTGATATGTCGATACAAATTTAGCTCCTTATGCTGTTGTCATGGCAATCAATATGTCTACACTTAAAACTGACAAATAGAGAATAAACAGAAAAACTAAATTAAAAATTGCATGTAATATATATATATATATATATATAAATTTCAGATTTCATGTTCTTTTTGACCTATTTTTTTTATAAATGCTATATAGAAATTAGGAAAAAATCATCTTAATATACGAAAATATACAAATATCGTCCTCTCTATTAAAGTAAAGTACATAATATGAAAAATTTCTAGCAAATGGAAGAAAGGAAAAAAAAAACGTTTTGTTTCAAAGACAGAATTGAAAAAAAGGAGATGTGCAAGACATACTTTCTTCTGCTGATAGAATCGATGTGATCCCATTTGTCACATGACATAAAAATGGTGCAAACTACATCAGGAAGGGTTAGGGGGTTAGAAATATACAAATCTGACAGCAAAAAAAAAAAATACACTTGCTTTTTACATTCCATTGAATTACACTATCTGTTATCTTCATACATGCCTTTGATGATCTTACATTGTAAAGAAGACAATTGTTGTCAGGGGTAACAACAAAACTTTTAAAGATGCAGATGACAACAATGATAATCAGTGACATGAAAATGGGGAAAGATAGTTTTTTTTTTTTGTTGTTTTTTTTGTTAAATGTTATTAGAGGGTAGCAGAGGTAATAGTACTGATTTGATTATGTAACATGCCATGCAGTTTTTGATTTTAGTTTCCCATCATGCAAATGGATGAAATATGCTCATTTTAGTTATGAATCATGCCACAAAAGTACATGCTATTTTTGTAAAAATACGCGCAAAATATCATGATAAAAAAGTATAGGAGCAATATGGAAGCTGAATACAGTAAGTCTATAGATATTAAAATGGTAACCACATCTTTATGATTCATGCTTTTATTTCAGGAATCGTTCCATGAATTATCAAATTTCATAATTGAAAAAAATATCATATGCAATAAAAACAAATGCTACGGGGTAACATAAAGTAATGTGCAACTGGCCCTAATTTTACAATGAGGTGGTCTGTTATTCTTAGGCTATCCTCCTAAAAAAAGTAGTGACTAAAAAAAACTCTTATTTCATTAATATTTCAAATTTCAACTATGTCTATGTCAAAGATATTCTCTTGAAATCAGTTTTATTGGCAGAAAAAAAATTATATTTTAGAAGCAAATAAAAATATTGCAATACTTTTCTTGATGCTACCTAAAAATATTCCATGATTTTACATCCAGATTTTTTCCCGCCCAAGGTTTCTGTAAATTGAATCCTAATTATAAACTGTAATGACAAAAGATGATCCACGTTTTTTATCACGAAAGATTTCTTAAAAATGGAAGTGAAAAATGTTGCACAATTATAATTACAACAGAGCATCTTTGCGAAATGTACGAACTTTCTGAGTGACATCATCAAATCAATCGAGTGACATCATCAAATCAATCGAGTGACATCATCATATCCACTGTGTGACATCATCAAATCTGCCGAGTGACATCATCAAATCCACTGAGTGACATCATCAAATCCACTGAGTGACATCATCAAATCCAGTGACTACAAATTCACGGAGTGACATCATCAAATCCAGCACCATGGAAACTAACATTTATGACCATACCAATTATTATTTTGTTGCTCATTTTTCTTTGTGACAGAATTAGTGAAATGTACAAACTTTCTAAGTAACATCAAATCTACAACTCTGCAAACTTTTCAAATGACATCATTAAATCACTGACATCAAATCCACTGAATGACATCATCAAATCTACCGAGTGACATCATCAAATCCAGTGACTACAAATTCACTGAGTGACATCATCAAATCTACTGAGTGACATCATCATATTCACTGAATGACATCATCAAATCCACTGAAGTGACATCATCGAATCCACTAAAGTGACATCATCAAATCCATCAACATGCAAACAACTAACATTTATTATGACCATACTAATTTCTCGTGACAATATTTTTTTAGTTACAGAATTACTTTTTATAGTTAACACAATACAAAGAATGACTTCACCATGTCATAGAATGATTTGCAGACAATTATGACTTAAGGAAGCACACTAATAGAAAAACAAATTTATCAGCAAAAACATGACCCCCAAGAAGAA